AAACTGCTTTCGATTCCTCTCAAGCATTGAGAGGTTCGACCTTCTCGTTGCATTCACAAAACCTCTATCTCTTTATTCGTACACAATAATTATTATCAGAAAGCTGAAAGTTTGCTGCAGACCCAAGATTCTGCGTATTCTCATTCAAAACATGTATTCGGTATTATCTAAAAAAACAGCCATGGATCTATAGTTAGTTAGTTGAAATTGAAGAAGACTCATTGGCGATTTCCAAATTGAAGTTTATACCATTATTATTGGGAAATGGGTTTCCCTGTTTACTGTTGGTATACTTATGTATTTATATATATATATATTCCAATTAAAACATTTTGTATCATGACAAACAGAGCATTTCAACAATAAATTTGTAAATATGTATAGATGTAAATATTTTGGCGTTGTCTTGTATATCCGTGGTTCAATATCTGAGTTTTTCATTTTTCTGATGTATAATGTTGTAGAAATTCATGAAAATTAAGAAATGTCCCAAGGCTGAAGTTCTCAATTTAATAACTCAACTTATCTTAGTCGGATTTTGAAGGGACATACCTCTAAATGATTCTGGAGCAATTCTCTAAAAATCTGCATTCAAATTTGGATATTTATTTTTTTTTAATTTTTTGTAATTTTTCTGTTGTAGAAATTCAAAAAGTTAAGAAATGTCCTAAGGCTGAAGTTCCAGACTCCATAACTCAACGTATCTTAATCGGATTTTGAAGTGGCATACCTCTAAATGTTTCTGGAGCCATTCTCTAAAAATCTGCATTCAAATTTAGAAATTTATTTTTTTTTTAATTTTTCTGTTGTAGAAATTCAAAAAAGTTAAGAAATGTCCTAAGGCTGAAGTTCCAGACTCCATAACTCAACGTATCTTAATCGGATTTTGAAGTGGCATACCTCTAAATGTTTCTGGAGCCATTCTCTAAAAATCTGCATTCAAATTTAGAAATTTATTTTTTTTTAAATTTTTTGTAATTTTTCTGTTGTAGAAATTCAAAAAGTTAAGAAATGTCCTAAGGCTGAAGTTCTATACTCCATAACTCAACGTATCTTAATCGGATTTTGAAGTGGCATACTTCTAAATGTTTCTGGAGCCATTCTCTAAAAATCTGCATTCAAATTTAGAAATTTATTTTTTTTTAATTTTTCTGTTGTAGAAATTCAAAAAAGTTAAGAAATGTCCTAAGGCTGAAGTTCCAGACTCCATAACTCAACGTATCTTAATCGGATTTTGAAGTGGCATACCTCTAAATGTTTCTGGAGCCATTCGCTAAAAATCTGCATTCAAATTTAGAAATTTATTTTTTTTTTAATTTTTTGTAATTTTTCTGTTGTAGAAATTCAATAAAGTTAAGAAATGTCCTAAGGGTGAAGCTCCAGACTCCATAACTCAACTTATCTTAATCGGATTTTGAAGTGGCATACCTCTAAATGTTTCTGGAGCCATTCTCTAAAAATCTGCATTCAAATTTAGAAATTTATTTTTTTTTTAATTTTTTGTAATTTTTCTGTTGTAGAAATTCAAAAAAGTTAAGAAATGTCCTAAGGCTGAAGTTCCAGACTCCATAACTCAACGTATCTTAATCGGATTTTGAAGTGGCATACCTCTAAATGATTCTGGCGCAATTCTCTAAAAATCTGCATTCAAATTTAGAAATTTATTTTTTTTTTAATTTTTTGTAATTTTTCTGCCGTAGAAATTCAAAAAAGTTAAGAAATGTCCTAAGGCTGAAGTTCCAGACTCCATAACTCAACGTATCTTAATCGGATTTTGAAGTGGCATACCTCTAAATGTTTCTGGAGCCATTCTCTAAAAATCTGCATTCAAATTTAGAAATTTATTTTTTTTTTAATTTTTTGTAATTTTTCTGTTGTAGAAATTCAAAAAAGTTAAGAAATGTCCTAAGGCTGAAGTTCCAGACTCCATAACTCAACTTATCTTAATCGGATTTTGAAGTGGCATACCTCTAAATGATTCTGGCGCAATTCTCTAAAAATCTGCATTCAAATTTAGAAATTTATTTTTTTTTAATTTTTTGTAATTTTTCTGTCGTAGAAATTCAAAAAAGTTAAGAAATGTCCTAAGGCTGAAGTTCCAGACTCCATAACTCAACGTATCTTAATCGGATTTTGAAGTGGCATACCTCTAAATGTTTCTGGAGCCATTCTCTAAAAATCTGCATTCAAATTTAGAAATTTATTTTTTTTTTAATTTTTTGTAATTTTTCTGTTGTAGAAATTCAAAAAAGTTAAGAAATGTCCTAAGGCTGAAGTTCCAGACTCCATAACTCAACGTATCTTAATCGGATTTTGAAGTGGCATACCTCTAAATGTTTCTGGAGCCATTCTCTAAAAATCTGCATTCAAATTTAGAAATTTATTTTTTTTTTAATTTTTTGTAATTTTTCTGTTGTAGAAATTCAAAAAAGTTAAGAAATGTCCTAAGGCTGAAGTTCCAGACTCCATAACTCAACGTATCTTAATCGGATTTTTAAGTGGCATACCTCTAAATGTTTCTGGAGCCATTCTCTAAAAATCTGCATTCAAATTTAGAAATTTATTTTTTTTTTAATTTTTTGTAATTTTTCTGTTGTAGAAATTCAAAAAAGTTAAGAAATGTCCTAAGGCTGAAGTTCCAGACTCCATAACTCAACGTATCTTAATCGGATTTTTAAGTGGCATACCTCTAAATGTTTCTGGAGCCATTCTCTAAAAATCTGCATTCAAATTTAGAAATTTATTTTTTTTTTAATTTTTTGTAATTTTTCTGTTGTAGAAATTCAAAAAAGTTAAGAAATGTCCTAAGGCTGAAGTTCCAGACTCCATAACTCAACGTATCTTAATCGGATTTTGAAGTGGCATACCTCTAAATGTTTCTGGAGCCATTCTCTAAAAATCTGCATTCAAATTTAGAAATTTATTTTTTTTTTAATTTTTTGTAATTTTTCTGTTGTAGAAATTCAAAAAAGTTAAGAAATGTCCTAAGGCTGAAGTTCCAGACTCCATAACTCAACGTATCTTAATCGGATTTTTAAGTGGCATACCTCTAAATGTTTCTGGAGCCATTCTCTAAAAATCTGCATTCAAATTTAGAAATTTATTTTTTTTTTAATTTTTTGTAATTTTTCTGTTGTAGAAATTCAGAAAAGTTCAGAAATGTCCTAAGGCTGAAGTTCCAGACTCCATAACTCAACGTATATTAATCGGATTTTGAAGTGGCATACCTCTAAATGTTTCTGGAGCCATTCTCTAAAAATCTGCATTCAAATTTAGAAATTTATTTTTTTTTTAATTTTTTGTAATTTTTCTGTTGTAGAAATTCAAAAAAGTTAAGAAATGTCCTAAGGCTGAAGTTCCAGACTCCATAACTCAACGTATCTTAATCGGATTTTGAAGTGGCATACCTCTAAATGTTTCTGGAGCCATTCTCTAAAAATCTGCATTCAAATTTAGAAATTTATTTTTTTTTTAATTTTTTGTAATTTTTCTGTTGTAGAAATTCAAAAAAGTTAAGAAATGTCCTAAGGCTGAATTTGATTTATTTTTATTAAATTTTACGTTCGATATCAACGTATATCTTATGTGCAGTCAACAATACATACTGTAAAGCCTATAATATTTTGAAACTTAAATATTTTATATTTTTTGATATTCAGAAATGTGTAAAACTACAAAATAATATAGGAATTCTGGTATTATGGAAATACTGCATTTTCTGTAGGGCGTATTCTTCATAACGGACCCTATGGTCACACTGAACACAACAAAAAAAAAATAAGTGTTTAGTCATTTACAAACCCATTTGTTTCTCGAAGTTTTCCAAATAACAGCCATATATAGGTTCTGACCCAACATATCTGCTTAGTGTAAAGGAAAACAGTAACTGGAGAAGTACAATCATGGAGTTTCCGCACTTGGGACAGCACTGCAGTGAGGGAACCTGCAACAGATTGGGTAAGATCAAATACCATACGCCAACCAGGAAACAGAAACTAATTGAATTAAGTTCCATCCACGTCCAGATTTTCTGCCCGTTAAGTGCGACTCGTGCGACAAGGTCTTCTGCGCCTCGCACTACAGCTACGATCGTCACAGCTGTCCGGGAGCCTACAAGAAGAACGTGCAGGTGCCCATCTGCCCACTGTGTCGGGAGCCCGTGCCCACGCCACCCGGAGTGGAGCCCGATGTCACTGTGGGCCAGCACATTGACCAGCAGTGCAAGTCGGAGAGCAAGAAGATCTACACCAACCGCTGCAATGCCAAGGGCTGCAAACGCAAGGAGCTCATCCCGGTGACCTGCTCGCAGTGCCATCTGAACTTTTGCCTGCGTCATCGTCACACTAGCGACCACGACTGCAAGCCAACGCCGGCATCTTCGACATCGTCGGGCAGTGGGGGATGGCAGTCCATATTCAAAAGCTCCTCGGACTCACGATCAATGGCTGCCCAGGCGGCCGAGAGACGCAGGCAGAGCAAACCCACCAGCAACAGCATCAGCAATAACAATTCCAGACCTCGACCTGTGCAGGCCACACAAGTACAAAACATACAGGGCAATATGGTGAGTAGGCATAGCTAGATACATAGATGCAGCTAGTAAGGGAAGGGAAGAGTAGTGGATGGGAAAACTTAATGACTCATAAGTCCATTAATAGAAGCATTTTAAAAATATCTAGACTGTTCTAGACTTTTATCAAACTTCATTCACAACATGTTTTAAATACTTACAGAGCGAAGACGAGGCCCTCGCACGAGCGCTGGCCTTATCAATCATGGAGCAGGATGATGCGGCGGAAAGCAACCGCCAAACTCCGGCACCAAGCAACGCCCAGCAGGTGGCTGTGGGCGGAGGTGACAATCAGCAGGGAAATGCCAAGGACAAGTGCCTGCTGTCCTAGTTCCCAGAAGGCAGCGCAGCCAGCTCTCAACATATCCATCACTTGACCAGCAGCTAGATATCTGCCCAACTATTAGATGTTAATGAAACTCTGTTATCGTAATCATTTGTTGGTAATTTACTTCGACTTCGTCACATTCTTCGTGGTTTAGCAAAAATAAATCAATGTTAATTCTACATTTGGAAAGCATAGATAGTTATTAACACGGATCTTTGAAGGGAAATAAGGGAATCGACCCTATTGCGAACAGATCTTACTCAGATAAATATGATACAAGGCTTAGCTACATAAATAGATACACGTTTATAGTTATACAGATACATTGCAATTATTCGGAATTGGCCTGCGTAAGTGTTTCCGCCACTTGCTCCTCCACGATCTTGCCCGGAGGCGGTACTTCCGCGGCAACCACTTCTTCAGCCTTCGGCTCCTCCACCAGCTCAGATTTATTGGACAGCGTGCTCAACTTTCTGCTAGCCGTCGAACCTTCCACGGATGACGTGCTGATTTTGCGCGCTGCTGCTGCAAAGCTGGCGACTCCCTCGGCGGCCAAAATACTGGCACTGGATAAGAGTATGGACACTTGCTCCGCCGACGGACAACTCGTGATGATCATATCGTCTGTGGAGTATCCATTGGTGGTCAGCAGTTGTTCCAGCTTCACAAACGATTGAATGATGTTGTTCTGCATAGAAAAAAAATATGGATTAATCATACTTCGTGAGCAAACGTTGCTGAAGCTTACGCGGATCGGTCTAAAGATGATGAATTCTGTATCACGATTGCTTAGGTAGAGCTGCATGGATCGCTGCAGCACCGCCAACTTGGCTTTGATCAGGCGCTGAGTCTCCTGGATTATACTGCTGATCTGCTGCGGACTGGCCCACGCACTTTGCCTTAAAACGTAGCTGGCTTTCGTCGACTCCTGCGACTGGGACGTGGCTGGAGTGGATTGCACCAACAGACTCTGCGCCTTTTCTAGGAATGTGATGAGAGGGCCCACTAGCATGTGAACCGCATCCTTGATGTACTTCTCGCACACTGACTTTAGCTGACGGTCCACTTCCTTGCGAGAGTCCAGCAAATGCTCCTTGATCTGGGGCGTGCCCTCCAGAAGGAATTCCAATAGAGCATTATTGCTGCCCATCGAAAAGAGCTGTTTGCGCTTCTGCAGCAGCCCAAAGGCAGCCGTCTTCACCTTGCTAAAGTCCAACGAGGTTTCCTTCACCGTAAAGTCCACACGAAACGGCGCAATCTGTTCCCGCAGAATTAGGAGATGCTTGATTTCGAAAAGTTCGCCGTCAATAGGCGTCTTGTTGGCTGAAATCTTGCCAGCCGCATGAGACACACTCTGGATGCACAGCTTGAGCGCTTCTTGGGATAGTCCTTGGAAAATGGGTCGATCCACGCAGCGGTAAAGTCTTGAGAGGCACACCAGTGTCCGGCGCACGGTGGGGTACCACATGCCATGCAGATCGGCCGGGGAATCTAAATAGTTAAAATGTTAAGTTCCGTTCGGACTGAAAGGCTTCCGCATCTTACTCATTTGCTTCACCGTGTAGGCAGTGGCCACACTTTCCGTCTCCACAGCACTTGAGACACTGGATATCATGGAGTTGCGAGAATCGGAGCGACGCAAAGGGGCAGGTTCTTGAAGGGACAAGGCAATACTCTGAAATAAATGATTTATTTTAGTTTTCAATCAATTTAAATCTCCCTAAGCCACACACCTCCATCATTTCCAACTTCTCCGGGTAGGCCAAATCTCCCGATGAGGGATTAAAGTTCTGAATGTCCGACTGCAGGTATAGATGCGCTCGGAAGACCAAACGCTCCTGCACATCCTGCAGCAATTGGTGCGCGATGGTGGCAAAGGCTTCCAGTGCAACAGCTAATAGATACAAGCACAATAAAATGGGGTTTGATTAGAACAAGATTATCAACACTTACGGTTCTGCTGGACATGTTCCTCCAGCATTTCAATTCGTAGAATGGAGCAGATCTCCGCCAGCGTTTCCAAGTGATTAATATGTATAATAAAGGGTCGCATGGTGTCGTAAAGAATGGTGCACAAGCCCTCCAGATAAACCCTGGTGTGAAAAATGAGATCAACCCTAGTTTGTAGATGTACGCATATGCCTTACGTTAGGTGTGGCGCTCCTGTGCTGAAGAACTGGTAGAACAGACGCTGTTCGTCTTGGCAAACATGAACCAAAAAGGCGCAGGCGCTTCGGGTGAGAGAGCAGTGATCCCCCTTATGGGCCACTTTAACGTTTTGTATGGACAGATTCACCGCCGGGGACATAACGCTGGCCCTCTGAGCCAGGTAGTGCTGCTGTAGATCCGCCATCAGTTGGGCGTAGTCCAGGCTGTGCTCCGACCGGGCCTCTATCAACTGGGCGACCCGCTTCACCTTTGCCGCGGCCGTTTGATATTTCCCGTAGTACAGGGCGAATGCGGCATCTGGTGCCTTGAGGGCAGTAGACGCATCCGGCACATTGTTCTTGGGATGTAGTGTGGCCTCGGTGGCCTGGTTTATCACGCTCGTTACATAGTTGCGCACCAGCCCCGAGGCTTTGGCCAGGCACTGCCTGTACTTCACATTGTAGGCGGCCGCGTCCTTGAATTTGGGCTGTCAATGAAGGCAATAAGTATATGAAAGACCGAAGACGAACAACAAAGCTCACATTCTCCTCGATGTAGTTAAGGCATTCGTCGATCTTGTTGAGGCACTCCCGGAAAGCCTCGCTAGCCACCGAAAGCGTGGGGCTCTGCAGTCGCTGGTTGAGCAACTCCACCTGGCTGAAGTAGTGAAGACGGCGTTGAATCTCGTGACTCAGCTCCTGCAGTCTCTCCTGCTCCTCGATCAACTGCTCGCTGGCCGTGTTTAGAGCGCTTGTCTTCTGCGACACAAAGTCGTACTCATCGCAGAGGGCACCCAGGCGCTCCATGGCCCCAGCGATCTGGTCCAGCATGTGGGAACACTCCGCCTTTCGCTGCTCCAGCTGCTGCAGGTATTTGTGGTAATCGGCATCGCCACGTTGCTCGATCTCGGCGCTGACGTCCGCGAACCAGAGCAGAAACTCATTCGTGTTCTGGAGTCCCTCCGCAGGCAGTTTAATGTCATCGCCGCTTTGCAAAGAAGTAGCTGCTGGTAAATCAGTAGGACCCGCATGGGTGGGCGTAGTCGGTACCGGTGCCTACAAAGAGTCGGTTTGCAAATCTAATTGCCATTCAAGGAGGAGTCCACTCACCGATGGCCCGCTGTCGCGCCACAGATTGGTCAGGACGTCCAGGTGCTCCTCTTGCTGGATACTCAGAGCCGCCAGCGGGTCCGTTTTGGACTCCCATTGCATCAGGCGGTTGCGAATCTTTCGCAAATTCTCATTCTCGCTCTGAATTCGTTCGACGTCATCCATTTTTCTGCGGCGGATTGGAAACAATCAATCAGCTGTTCAGAGATGGCAGCTGTGCGCCTTCCAATGATGCTCAGCTGTGCAGGAAGACCAAGCTAGAACTATGAATATCGCTATATACAAATGAGTTTCTTTAATATAATTCCGGTTGCCTATTTCGGAATTTAAATCACCTTTTTTCATTATGGCTTAAATACATCATAAGCTTATTATTCAAGCTCCCCTGCTTCTTACTTATGTGTGCATTATTAATTTCTGTATTTTAAGCTTGGCGATAATTTAGCCAACGGAATATTTAGTCACCACTAACTGAACGTTTTCCAACACTGTTCTCTCAATAAATAAAGTTCTGTTCCCTACTGTTTTTATTGAATTTTGATCAGTTTTTTTGGTTAATACATCATACGATGGCGCCGCAGCCGGTGGTAACGGGGCTATCTCCAAAGGAGGGACCTCCTGGCACCCGCGTCATCATTCGCGGCGAGTTCCTGGGCACCCGAGTGCAAGATCTGATTGGTAGGCGTAGTCTGGCCCAAATAGCTTCTGTTTTTTAATGACTCCCTTCCCAAAAAAAAAAAAAATGTAAGGTCTGAAAATCTGCGGTTCAGATTGCCTGCTGTCGGCGGAGTGGAAGTCACCCAATAAAATCATCGCACGCACTGGCCCGGCGAAGGGAAAAGGCGACATCATAGTAACCACTTTGAGCGGCGGAGTGGGCACGTCCACGGTTCAGTTCCGTGCCTACCACGAGACCATTGGTCCGCTCAAGGAGTCCGCCGTGTGGATCGAGGAATCGCCCTCGCAGAATTTTGCCTGGGGTCGACGCACCCTGGCCCAATCCGGACTGACGCAGGAGGATCCTCTTGGGCTGTCCATCGAGGGTAACGAGCAGAAGATCCCCGAGGACTTGCGCGATCTCTTTCCCGAAGCCTGCGGGGATCTGTCGCAGGAGCACTTCTCACCAGCCTGGTTCCTGCTTGAGAATCACCTGGCCACCTCCTTTGAGGATCTCAAGGCGGGTCTGTCCTACTTGAAGCGGAAAGTGGAGAGCCAGAAGGAGGGTCAGTTGTCCTTCCTCAAGTCCAACGCAGGCTCAGTGATTGATCAGCTCGATACGCTGATGAACATCCGGGACAAGCTGCAGGAGGATGTGAAGCTGCACGGCAATGAGACCCTAAATATCTTGGAAACATCCATAGAGAGTGAGTGAGGTTATTACATGGGTCAATCCTATTCTAACATTTTTCCACTTACAGACTCCATTAGCGAGTCGCAAAAGATTTTCACGGATGTGCTGGTGCGCAAGGAGAAGGCAGATTCCACGCGGTCCGTTCTGTTCGCCCTGTCACGGCACAAGTTCCTTTTCTGTCTACCAAATTCGGTGGACCGACGTGCCAAGGCGGGGGAATACGACATTGTGGTTAACGACTACTCGCGCGCCAAGAACCTCTTTGGCAAGACGGAGATTCCCATCTTCCGGAAGGTGCTCGAGGAGGTCGACCAAAGGATCCTGTCCATACGGAAGCAGCTGCACGAGAAGGTTGTCAGGATGCCACAGAGCGTGGAGCAGCAGAAGAAGCTTATCAAGGCCCTGATCAGTTTGGAACTGCAACAGAGCGGAACACCCATTGGCGATAAACTTCGCAACATCGATCCCGCTTGGGATGCCATCGAGGCCAGAGCCAAGTATCTGGAGTGGACATTTCGCCAGACCTTTGACCAGCACACCAGCAAGGATTCGGGTGCCCAGGAAAAGGCTAAGAACAGGGATTCCAACCAGGCGCCCAATCGCGTTAACTTCTGTGAGGAACTGTGCGACATTGCCGCCTCCCAGCTGCCGGATTTGTGGCGTCTGGGCCAGTTATACTTTACCGGCGAGCTACGCGGCCCTCATGATCCCAAGCCTGGGGACTTTAAGCGTATGGTTTTGAACGCCATCGAGAAGTTCTGTGTCTACTTGAGATTGGCCATCCTCATTGCCACCGATCAGCGAGCCCTGCGTCAGTCCAGCGGCTTGGCTTGGCCCATCGGCTCCGCATCGGCAACGCACCAGTTTCTACCCTGGATTCCGCAGTGTCTGCGCTTCACAAGGATAGCCTATGCCACGCTCATAAGCTTGGATTTGCCCTCGGAAGCGCTGGACATCATACAGAAACTGATCGATGAGGTGCGCATTTTCTGCTTCTCAATTATCTTTAAACGGGCCACGGATCGATGCAAAAAGCTGGTCAGCCAGGAGACCTGGGAACTGGGTGTGGAGCAGTATCCAGGTGCCACATTGTTACCCGCTGCACTGGAAACATTGCTCATCGAAACGCTGGACGAGGTGCAGTCTGTGTGCATGCAAAGGGAGACCCGAGAGGGCAATCTCCTCGAACCGCAGTCCGATGGACAGCGAGAGGTGACACAGCGACTGCAAGAATTTCTATCCGCATTTACCGCGGTGATCGAGGAGCTGACCTTTCACTCCCATGACGAGGAGACGCCCACCCACAATGTGTCGCAGCTGCTTGGATTCCCCAACGCGCAGCAGCCAGATTCGGTGGCTGGAAGCGGCGGAGCAGCGGCTGTGACCTGGGAGCAGCGCATGCTCTGTTGTTTGTCGAACTATGCGTACTGCAACAAAATCTTCTTCCCGCGCATTGGTGACATCTTCGTGCGCTACGGTTATCCGCTGCCCACTCTGGCAATCGAAACGGCACGTTACACGGTTAACCAGCTCTTTACCAACCTTCTGGAGGAGTACGTTGAGCATAAGGGCGATCCGCTGGTCGGCACCATCGAGCCATCTATGTACCTGGGTCGTTTCCAGTGGGATCACGAGATGGAGATCGGCCAGCTGCGACCGTACGCTCACGAGTGCTGCGATAATTTGGTGGGCGTCTACTCCGAGATCTACAGCATCTCACCAGCACTGCTGCGACCCATCCTGGAGTCCATTGTGCAGACCATATCCGAAGAGCTGGCCCGTCTGATGAGCTGTGTCCAGCGGTTTAGCTTTACGGGAGCGATTCAGGCCCACGTGGATATCCGTCTGTTGAGAGACTCCCTGGAGGGTTACGTCAATGAGACTGCCAAGTGAGTGATGCTTCTGAATTTTGAGAGTCGGAAACTAATCCTTTTGATCTGCATTAGGAACTACTTCATGGAAGCGCTGGAGGCCATCAATCCTCCGCTGAGCGGCGAGCAGAAGCGAAAGGCGGACGAGATTCTGGAGCGGGTTAAGCGGAACATGCGTCTGCAGCTGCTCTGCTTCAGTGTCAAGGAACCTTAGGTACATTCCACTGCAAGGCGCAGCCAATGTAGATAGCGTATACGTTAACTAGCTTGTGATTACCCATGTTCGAGGGATAAATCTTTATTCGATTGCAAAACTCTCTTACTGACTACCGACTCACACGCCCAACAGCGTTGGGTCGAAGTTGAAGTCGTTCTGAGCCATGGTCTTGATGACCTGCTCCACATCGATGGTATTGAACTTCTCCTGCACGCGCTGCTTGATGGGGTTCTCGATGGCGTCCATGATCTGGTAGCGCAGCAGGTTGGGAATGACGTTCACGGCAAACTCCATGACATAGTCGAGGGTTCCCGCTCCGTCGCATCGCACCTGTATGTTGCCCATGTCAAACTGCAGATCGGTGATCTGCGCCCGCTGGCGTGTGTCCAGTGATTGGCTCAGGCCCACGGTGGCACGTATGTGCTGAACCGTGAATTGTACGTGACCAACGCGGGTCATCATGCCCACACCCACCTCCCACTGGCCGGCTCCCGTCACTTGCTGGGTGCCTATTTGCAGGACGGCCGACACCGTTTTGTTGGCCATGCCAGCGGTTATGTTGCCCACCCGGTAGAAGCTGGAGATGCCATTGATCCAGGTGTGTGCTAACTGGACACTGAACACGCCCATGGTGCGATTAACATCGGGCAAGTGGTACGGATCGTAGCCCTTCTGGCGCACCATCTTGCGTGCCATAGCTATGGCGCTGTCCAGCGGCGTTATGGAATTGGGCAGCCGGCGATCGCCCAAGGTTTTCTGGATCATCACGTTGATCTCGCTGCGCAGCTTTTTGTCCGCCTCCTGCAGCATGAATGGCTTCATGGCGTCGAATACCAAATTGGGCGCGCCGTTCACCACGCTCTGAAAGACACTGCCCACCAAGCCGAGGTTCTGGAAGTCCATTGTCATGTCCGAGAAGGTGATGTCGATCTTGATCCGATCCGTGGCCAGCTGGCCATCTCGTTCGACGGCCAAAAAGGCGGTTGCCTCGGCATACACGTTTTTCAGGACCACAGTAAAGGGTCCATTGGCTTTCGAAAAGAATGAGCTGAGGGTATACTGGCCCTTGACCAGCATCTGATCCAGCTGGAGGCCGCCGTTGAACTGGAGAACGGAGGATTGGAAACATCAGGCAAATTCAAATGTAACGTGTAAACCCACCTTCATTTCCTTCAAGTCTAGGTTCACTTTATCAATACGGAACTTGGACAATCCGTATGCCTTAACCTGCTTCATGTCTAGATTGGCCATGCCCATGCTCTTCTTCACGTTGGGCACCTCCAACGGATCGGGAACGGGCACGCCGGGCAGGCCCTGCGGATCCTCCTGCTGGAAGTGCACGAGCATGGCCTCCACCTGGGCGGCTATGTTGGCCTGACTCTCCTTGATCTTAAGTGCGTCATCCGACTCGCTTGCTTCCTGCTCCACAACTGCTCAAAGGTCATTCGTGAGTGGCTTAGTTTCCGGGAAGGCTGAGGCAGGAATTGGGCTTACCCTCACCAGGATCCTGGGAGTGGACAATGTGGCAGCCACTTGCCAGCAGGCCCACGAGCACGAGCACTATCAACGGCTTCATCTTTCGGGGATTAGATCGGACTTCTGCTTATCAGTTGGAAAATTGAGGAAAACGCGCCAGCCTCCGTTCTCTACTCGGAGCAAACACGCACTGCCGACTGGCGCGTTAATCAAAAGATAATGATGAGCCGCAGGCGGCGATCCGCTTATCTAAGGGCGACTCTGCTCGCGGAGCTGCTGATTAAACTCGGAATTGAGAATGA